CTGGTCCTAGCCTCGTCACTACCTCGCCGGGGTTAGGCCAGACACTTACCAGCACATGGGGCCGGTTGTGCTGATACTACGCTCTGTGCTCTTTTGCACAGATCCAGGTTTTGGATAGCAGCAGTAGCGTGGGAGTCAGCCTTCAGTCCAGTGAGACACGGAGGTAGCCTTGCAGGCGTTCGTAGGCCCGACGTCTCCTCTATCTTTTATTTCCGTCTGTTATCTCATATATTCGAGACAAACAATTTATATTTTCTTTCAAACGGTTGTATTTAGCACTCTTAGAAGTTCGTGAGTAATGTGACACCAGTTCTTGGGTAGAGGCATATGTTGATTCTCGCATTATCGTTCAGTTTTCTTTAAACTTAAGTCTTCCGCCTATTTATTTAATTCCGTTGCTTTCATGCTATTGCTGATAATTGTTAAAAGAAGTAATTGTTAATGAAGTAAGCAGTTAAGGATTGACTTGCCTAGCTCTCATTAGAGGCTCCATCACGACTCCCGAGGGTGGGAAATCCGGGTCGTGACAGTTATATTAGGAGTCTATTATGTTAATCGATTCACTTCCCGTTTAAAAGCAGTGTAATCCCTTGTTTCACGCTGTGAATACAGTCGAATATAATAATTTGTCCAGCTGTAATCTCATATTTCATGCCATGAATACAGTCGAATATACTCGAATACAACAACTGATTAGCTGGACTTCCCTGATTCACGCCTATTTTTGCTATTGTATTCATGAATACAGTAGCTTAAATACATCTTATAACAACAGAAAACGTATCTACAATCCGTAATATAGCAAAAGATATCTATAGATAGCTAATTGCCACTAAAACATAGTGCTTTATGAAAATTTCTCTATTTTTAACTTATAAGCATGTGGCTTATAAGTACTTTTAACTTTACCAAACACGTAGATAAGTCGAAGAGTGCTTATAAGCTAGTTTGACCGGCTTATAAGCTTAGCCAAACACCCTCTAAGTCACTCTTCTGCTATAAATAGGAGGGTTTTATCCCGTTGTAGTTTTTCTTAAAACCAATAAAATTCTCTCTTTCCTTTTTTTGCAATATTCTTCTTTTCTTTTATCATTTTATTTCAATTTTGGATTAGTTCTAAAATATACAAGATGTTATAGGCTTTACTAGAGTAGAATGTATTATTATATGTATAATAAGGATTGCGTTGAACGGTAACTACTCTTTTTATCTGTAACTAGAGATACCCCTATGCGTTATCGAATATTATGTGAAGAAAAAAAAGGCGTAGTGACATGTAAGGAGGAGTGGAATTTTATGATATTTTGGCAATTCTAATGGGTATCTTACAATTTTCGCCTTTAGTTTTTAAAAGTGACTAGTTTCTCGGCACGTGCGTTGCACTTGTATACCGAGTCATATTGTATACAATTTTATAAAATAATATCAATATTATCAAAATAAAGATTTCAGTACATAATTATATACATGGACAAATAAAGTGCAAGTTTCTGTAAACGATTAATGTTGATCGTTGTATGATGACTTGTTTGTTGTAGTCAAGATGATTGGATATCACATAAATCTATGAAGAAGAAAAATTAAATTTTAATTAAGTACATGTATTTTTCTTACTTATTTTGATTTTATAAGGTACATACATATAATGAAGCGTTTCTCAACTGATATTTCCTTATAGATGATATTCCTGATGTAATTTTTTTCATGTTTAAGATTCTTGTTGGTTGATATTAATATCTCTCTTGAAAGTGCAACGTAAAATTGGGCATGTAAAGAAATATGTAAATCCCCAAGTAAGTCATTTAGAGATTTTAAATTCTTAGATAAGTTACCTAGGAATTATAAATTTATTTGTAAATTACTTGCGAATTTTTTCACAATTTTTTTTAATTAAATAGTGTCAACAAAACAAATTTACCTAAACTTTTTATGGGAAAAAGTCTACAAGTAATTTTCAAAACATCATGTAAATCCTTAGGAAACAATAGGCCAAAGGTTATGGTAATGTGATTTCATATGATAATTCCACAAGAATATGTCGATGAAAATCCACAAGTATATCCACAAGAATACTTTTATGCAGGAAATCCCATGAAAACTTCATTGAAAAATTCTCGTAAAATCTTTGGGCAAAAGTTCTTAGGGAAGTTCCAAATAAATTTCTCGATGAACTTGGAATTTTATTCTAACTCCCCAAAAAATTAAATAATTTTTCCGGAAGCAAAAATAATAATGTCTAGTTTATTTTTGTAGGTAAATTCCCATATAAAAATTGATGACACTCAAGACATTTTTCATGAAAACTCGCGTGTAATTTGTACATTTTTATATGCTAATTTATTTTATTTAATCATAAATTTTATTCCACACAACTTCATTGTCCTAAAGTGTTCATGCTATATTTTTTCTAGATACCATTCCATATAAATATAAAATAAGAATTATAACAGAGAAAAACAATAAAATTTATTACATCAGTATATAATAATGTATAGTTCGTACATGAAAAAATTAAAAATCTCAAATGCGAATCTCAATTAATATAATCAACTGTCTTAAACCTGGTCAAAGTCAGTTTCATTCACATTATCAGAGTCACCATTAGTTTAATTATCAGAAGGTTAATTATCGTTATGGATAAAATTAGTGCATTCACATGTTTCATTAGTTCTTTTAAACCTCCTATTTGTGTTACCAATTTCTTTCTTACGTCACCCAATCTTTTTATTATATCTTTATTTGGGTGTTGTTTTTCTTGTTATTTCAGTATATAGTTCAAAATTTGAAAGCACAACCTTGATCCCATCAACTTTTTTCATTGTTGTCATTGTTGATTGCTCATGTACTTTTAAAAAAATCAATCTAAGGATTCCACGATTTACAACCCTTCCTTTTTTCTTTTGACAAACTTATTGCATACAAATAGAATATAAAGGTCTTCATCGATTTAAGATATATGATATAGTTACCATATCAGTCTAAGAACATTCTATATTATAAAGTAATGGAACCAAAACACAATTTAGCATTTTCTTCACCCTTCTTTGACTTTCCTTTAAGGATTTGTGTCAAGCTTTTATGTGGAATTTATTCAATATCGGTCATATAAAGTGTTCCACATTTAATAAACAAACAAGCGTAAGATCACTTGATATAATACCAAAACACTGATAAGATGTTAAAACTAACCTTGTGGCTTCTCCAACAAAAGTTCATCATCATCATTCATGTTTGAACACCAAATATCTTATATAGGATAAATTACTTTTGCTTTTTCTGCAAACATGGAATTCTCGAATTAGAAATCATGTTCCACACACTTCGAGAATTTAAAATTATTTAAACCACAACTAAGAAAATTGGTCCATGTTTGCCACCTTCTGCAATAGAAACTTGACTCAATAGTGTAACAAAAATCTCCTCAATCTCCCACCTAAAAGAGAGCAAAATAAAAAATTGATACATAAAAAGAGAAAATATCTTCTGATTGGAAACTTTCCTTATACAATAGTTATTAATCCTTTGACTTAGCATCCTAAAAAAGTAAAAAATAAAAAGTATCGAACCAAGATATATTAGCAGTTACCATAATATAACAATGGTACTCCATAGTTTGTATTTTTAATGTAAGTAGTATAATTATTTAAAAAATTAACAAAGCTAATATAAATCTTAGAAAAGTAACAATAATTGTATAAATGCTAATGCCAATAATATTTTATCTTAGTTTTTATTCATGAACTTTAAAGATAAAAAGGCTGAGAAAGTGATCACCACCGTTAACATAGAGTTAATATGCATGTTTAACTTGGGAGATATAAGAACGGATTGCAGGGCCAATTTTGTACATCAAAGATTATGTATACTTTTATGCACTTATACTTGTGGCATTTGTGTTAGAAGAAGAAGTTAGTTACGATTTTGAATGAACACAACTTTTCCGAAAAGGCACATCATATAGTTTTCTTCTCTTCCAACCTATTTAATAAATATTAAATATTAGATAATATTTATAAAATTAAAATTAGGGTATTTAAGTTATTTAAAAAGATATTTTGATAATTTAAATTTTTGGTTCTGGGGTTCTCATTTTTAATAATATATAATATAATAATACATATATGATTTTTAGTTACTAAAGCCAACGGTTGAATAAACTTAAAAAACAAAATTAGTTACTTATTAAAAAGACATACTCCTGACATCTTAAAAATGATACTTCAAATCAAATTAGTTTTCTTCTTGTTAACAAATACTATTGTTAACAAACATATAATTAAATATATTTATTTAAGGATTTTTATAAGTAGGGTATTTATGGTTAAAAAAACATACCTGTTTAGCTCTCAAGACGAAAAGGAAGAATATTGGAGAAAAGTACGGACAAAGGAGGAAAAAAGTGCATAGTCCCTACTGCATTAAAAGGTATTTAAAGATAACCATGTACATAAAATGTAACACTGATAAGTTATAATTAAAAAAAAATATTATTTTTTTATGTACGTTGTCAATACATAGTACAAAAATCTTAGTTAAAATTGGATCGGAAGGAAAGATAAGATTCCAAATGTAAGTTTTCTCATTAAAATTTTTGAAAAGAAAAATGAACCAAAATTTCATCAATTAATGTAATTACCGAGTTTGATGACAATTGACGAAGACCCAATATCAAATAAGGTCCAGGACTTGAGGGGTGTCACATGGAAAGAGAAACAGAGTCAGGCATGTGGGTAGGAAAAGGCCGAGTCTTGTGCTACATGACATGCATACCTAAGCCAACGGTAGCAACGGTTGAAAACTATAGAAAATAGGAACGGTTGGTCACATTAGCAATATACAATCTGAAGGGTAACACCTCTTCAAATAAATTTGTTATTTTTAATTATTTATTTAAATAAGTAAAGAATTTAGATTAATAAGAGGGATAATTTGGTAATTTAACTTTTTAGTTGTGGGCTTAATATATATAGTATAGATAAACATCATACGGATTAGCCACACACATTTTCCATATCAAGCAATCAACCAAGAAATGGCAATTCCTAGCGTCTGCTTGTGTACCAAACTCCCTCCAAATCCAAATAAACTTCAGAGTCCTAACCCGTTCCCACTAACCCATCAATCTTCTTCTTTCTCTCCACAGGTAAATATTCCCAATTGATTCAATGTCCTCACTCCAGTAAAACTTAGCCAATTGTGCTTGAATTTCTTTTAAAAGGTAAAGTAAGTCAATTGTGCTCGAATTTATCACAGGTTTCTCTGAATTCAGTTGAGAGTTCGAGAAATGCTTTGGCCTCTTTTGGTGAATCAATATCAAGAGCAAGCTTTCTAGCTCTTCTCTCTGCTTCACTCTTCTTGGCCTCGGATCCTGCTTTAGCGTTTAAGGTATTCAACCCATTTTATTTGGTTTGTTCCAAGCTCAAAATGAATTGGTGGGTTTTCTTGTTTCTCATATGGGTTTGACGCATAATCAAGGGTGGAGGTCCTTACGGTGCTGGAGTGACAAGGGGCCAAGATCTTTCAGGGAAGAATTTTAGTGGCAAAACTTTGATCAAACAAGACTTTAAAACGGTAATAATGTGGTTTTATTCACACTACTTTCTTTTTGCTCTTGTACCATTTCATATGATTTATTGATTAACGCGTGAATTTTAAAGGTTATCTTGATATTTACTAGTTGCTGTTTGATTGTACGACTAAGAATGCATATGTTGTTTACGTGAGTTTGTCGCAGTCAATACTCAGGCAAGCTAATTTTAAAGGTGCAAATTTAGTTGGAGCTAGCTTCTTTGATGCCGATTTAACAGGCAAGTTCATCATTCTTTACATTCCATTTCCTGGTTTAGTAACGGACAAATATGCAGTTGGTAATGTAAGTAATAATTTGATCTGCGGTTTTTTTGATATTGCTCATCAAAAGAGTAATCCATCTGATGTAATAAGCACTAGTACCCATTTAACACACTGATTCTTCCCACTAACCTCGACGATAGAGAATCAAATGGAAAACGATAACCACCATCGAATGGAACTC